ACAGTGAGAGCAGCTCAGAGAGGAGGAGGAAACAGAATGAACTAGTGATGAGAGTTTATTAGTTACAGTGAGAGCAGCTCAGAGAGGAGGAGGAATCAGAAACTCCAGCTCGATACAAACCAACTGCAGCTTCAGCTCTGATCATGAAGCAGCTTTTTCCTTTTTCCTGATAATATTTTTTACTTAAGTGGGATTTCACAGCACTTTGCTTTGCAATGGAGTATTTTTGCATTGATACATTGTAGTTTTACTTAATATAAGTCATCTAAAGGATGTGATAGGCCACCTCTCCCACGGGTGTCAGAATTTCATGTTGTCATATTTCTTGACTGGGAGTCACTAGTGCCTCCTACTGGCACAATGGGAATGCTGAGATACTTTTGTCTGTCTCCTTGTGTTTTAATCTTTGAAATTACTTGAATGACTGTGCATACACCCACTAATACATCTGCTTTTCACCTGCTCTGTCCTTCAGGCAAGAGAAGTAATGTGTCTGTTGCTGAGATTCAAGAGTTTAGGAGGCAGGTAGAGTGTCTGAACTTACCACAGCCTGCTGTCATGGACCCAGAGAATGGTTCGTTCATATGAGTTTTATTGTTTACTCACTGTGAATAAGCTCTATATTTCTTTTTTTATCATGTGAAAAGTTAAAGGGTTCACGTTTTTACCATGCACATGAATCCAGAAGCTGCAGTTTCTCTCAACTGTTAAACAATTAACAAACTAAATACAGCCAACAGTAAAATGCATATCTGTTCCATAAATACATACAAACCTTATATTTACAAGTGAAGTTAGATTTATATTAGATCACACACGTTTTTCATTATGCCTTTAAACATTCGAAGCACTGGATTGACTGTGGGATGATAAACTTGTATACTTGTGTATCTCGACGTTGCAGGTTTTTGTTCAGATGATTCTCCCTCCACTGATCTGACCAGTGCCATTAATGACACGACGTTGGAATTGTTTGACATGCTTGGCAACATTCTAAGCAATGAGGGTGGACTGAAAAACCTGATCAAACAGATTTCCAGTGATGGAGCTGGATTAAAAGAAAATCCACAAATCATGACGCAATGAATCCACCAAGTCCGTGAGAAGGCAAGTCTTCAAATAAAAGCAAGATGAAAATGAAGTATGACTGTTGTTCTTCTGTGTATTTAATTAACAGATTACCACAAAATTTGGTGGAAACAAGTGGTATGGGTCAGGAAACAACCAATTCGATTTTAGTGCAGAGCCACATCAGTGTATGGATCCAAGAGTTTTTTTTCACTTTCTTTAGCATTGTGAGGGCATTATTCAACATTTCATTGATTTTACAGAGTGTAAAGGCTGATAAGGGCACTGTTGTGTTGGAGGTATGAACTTTTCTGAGTGACATTATCGCTTGTTTGTTGTTTCTTTTTTTGTTTATTAGCAGGATTACGCAAAAAGTACTGTGGATTACCATGAAACTTGGGGGAAGGATGGGACATCAATCATAGTCCAGTCCAACAGTGGACATGAAAACCAAAATTTGAAATATGTTTAGAGAAATAAACACATTATCAAACAGCACCATAAATATGTCAACTAGAAAGGCTACAGTGATCAACAATATACAACAATTGTGGGACAAATAAATCTGTTCAGTAGTTTTTGCGTAATCCTGCTAACAGACAGAACAACAAACAACACAGACAGAAATCATAACCTCCTTGGTGGAATTAATTTTTAAAAAATCACACTAAGTTGACTAAGGAGGATGCTCATAGCCTTGTTTATTTATTGGTAGTTTATTACTGTACATACACTTTCTCATGAGTCATATGTACATATACCTTTCTCTCCCTCACACACACGCAAACAAACAGCAAACGCAAGATTATATAAAAATGACTCGGTTTCTGTGCAGGGTTCAATCACAGTCTGAGATCTATAGAGAATATTTGCATCTGCACACACCGTGCATACACACACACACACACACACACAACAGATATCTGCACATGGCCATATGCCTCCATTTACACAGAACAGACCACAATCAAAAAATAGAAAAGTGACTGATGAGCCGTTTGGCGGCCCAGTTGTATAACAGATAAACTAATCCAATGAGATTTGTGGGTCTGTGGTATAAAACTGCTTCCTGTCTTAACAGGAAGTCCACAGATAGATTAAATAGTTTTTTTCTTCAGGGCATGTTTCCAACAAACTCCAGACACATCGTTTTCATGTGTGATGTATGTTACGTCGTTACTTGACTCCCTGGTGTAACTTCACAACATACCTGACACTGAGATTTGTCCAATGCTACATATTGTTTTTCTAAAATAATCCCCTGAGTGTGACCCATACAATCAACCAGAGCCGAGCGACCTACAACTTCCCATGCAACACACAATCTCACAGTGTCAGTCAGTGTCTGGGTGTTTTTTTGGTGGACTGAGTGGGAGAAGTTTGATCGATATCTTCTTCTCACCTTTCTCCCACTTGATGGTAAATGATTGTTTGTTGAATAAAACTGAGATGTGCTGTATGATGTGATCTGTAATACATTGACAGTCTTAAAAAGAAATAGTCTAGGGCCTTTATCTCGAAGCAGGATTGATAGTTAACCTGATAACTGAAATTAATTGAGCCTGAAACCACTTTTTTCTAAAGCCTGTTAACTATTACTTTATAAAGTTGATTTAAACTTTTCACTACCAGTGGTTTATTTGCACACGTAATGATAGTGAAACATGAGAATTCATTGGAGTAGGGCTGGGCAATAAACAATAACAAGAATTATTGCAATATAATTCATAAAACTTATATATATATATTGATATATTGCTTATACATTGTACAAGCATAGTGAGGAGTTAAAACAGGTTTAATGCATCCTATCTGTAAAAAGTTTTGCGTTTGAAACCACAACCTTTACTCATTCTTCAGATTTGAAAGAAATAATAATTTGACAAAATGATATGAAAGACATTTTTTTTCCACAACGTCCAGCCTTAGTTTGTAGTCTCTGACCGTCTGATGTATGTTCAATATTCACCAAGTATTTCTCTCTTCACCTGCACCACAATCGTATTGTAGGTGCATCATCTTTGGAAACGTCTGCCTGCCTCTGCACACAAGATTAGTAAGGGGACTGAGAATGAACCAACTCAGTAAACACGTGAAAATGCTTCATAAACCTGGGAGCAAGTGTGGAGCCAAGGAGGTTGCACCCATGTCCGTTTGACTGTTATTTGGTTTGTAGGCAGGATTATGCATAATCTAAGAAAAAGGACCCATTCAATTTATTGCGGGTCTTGACAAAGGGCTGATAAAGGATTTTTTCTCGCTTAATTACTAAATTTTCCATGATTATTTTTATTGATGGAAAAAATAGACATATTGATATAACATTGATATTTATGAGTTTGTGCAATTTGGTGTAGATCCAAATAAAAATCTGGTGAATTTAAAAGTGGTTTGATAAGGTTTGCTTTCTACTGAGTTTCTAGTTTTCTCTGGATTCATTGTTAAAGGATTCACATTTCATTATTGCTAATATAAAACACAGCTTTAAAGACCATGATGCTGATCTGGGAGTAATCTGATTTTATTCAGTGCAGTTATGAAGCTGACTTTAATAATCCTGCTTCGTGATACAGAACGCTGGTATTACCCAACGCCTAATAAAGAGGATCGAACACTCTTAAATAGCCACAGGCCTCTCAATGTAATGAGTCAGATTATGTCTAAGACAGAGGAACTTTCTCAGAAAAGACTCACATCCTCAACTTGGAACGCTCATATAAACAGGCCAAGGTTGGCTGATAAGGAAGAGAGGCCCATGTGAAGGTGTTAAGGACAAAGCGATTGTGTGCTTTAGTGTTGACACATGTCCAGAAGACAAAAGGGGAAACAACCATACCATTGCAGAAAAAAAACAACAAAAAAAAAAACTAACAACTGAGGCCTATTTCACAAATGCACACTCACACATTTATAAATTACAACAAAAGTAACAAAGATCAGGTATGGCAAAGAAAATACTTCCGAGGAAAGAACCCTGCTTTACAGAGTAAAGCGTGTCTTCATGTCTGATTTGTCTTTTTTGCATACGTTTTGCCCTCAGACTTTTCTCACACACACACACAAACATGGTGAACAGGTTAACAAGCACAGACTGCCCCCTTCACCAGAACAGTAAACACAACTTGAGATACTAAAAAAATATATAAAGAAACCAAGCGCTCCTCTCATCTTCATCAGTGGCCTCCTCACATGTTCCACTGTGAATCAGACGCAGTTGCCTGGCAACCAGCCCATCACCTGCACACACACACTGGTGAAAAACACAAATTGTTCCAGGTAAACAGTGTAGCATTTAAGACCCACTCATTCTATGGGAAGTAGAGTCAAAGTGTGTGATTGTCACTGGGTTAGGGTGACGCACAGTAAGTGTGCAGAGATATGAAAGGAGAGAGAAGAACAATGTCTGGTAGTTGATAAGAAGAGTGACTTTTTTTTTCTTTCTTGAGTTAAGCTGTTTTGGCCACTGGCCCAACATATTTTGATCAGACTCATCAGTCCGCTACTGAGTTTATTTTGATGAAGGTTCCTTTGGAGTTCCATTATGTCACGTTGCCTCCACAGCCTAGAACCGAAAGCACCAAACCAACTGATACAAATGCACTGGGGTGTATTTTTTTGCAGGTGAAGTTGGCGGTGTGACGGTAGGCAACATTTGAAAGTGTTTTATCATGGTCTGACTGTGCCATGTGCTTAGGTTAGGGAACATTTAAGTGACAAAAACGAAATTCCAGTTATAGCTTAGAGAACTCAGTTCGAGAGTCCAGTCTCCAGCTCCTGGCTCCGAAATCAATAATACTGCCCGTGGCTGGGTCTCCTCTGACATCCAACAGGCTGGTACCGGCTCGCATGGCTTAACAGTGCGCCAGCTTGTCCGAAGGATGAAGGTTCAACTGTGAATCCGCTCCAGTTCTGGAGTCGGGATGCTGGATTTGTAAACAAGGGTGTAGATAGAGTATGTGGGAGAATGAGTCAAAAAAGGATTGATGCTACTGTGTAAACAAAAATATTGTGTTGGTCTTTTGGGATGGGGGAGTTGTAAAGGAGCTTGACAGTCATCGTGGTTCTGTGGCAGAGCTGGGCAGCAGTGGTGGTGTGAGATCGGCCACAGTTGGGCTAATCTGGTCTGAAGATGGGGATCTTAGGTAGGAACTCTATCAGGATTACCTGCAGGTGATAAAGAGAACAAAGCAGATTGTTGAAGTGTAAGTGTGATGGCATTATTACCAAAGTAGCTATCAGTTCACTACCTCTGTTCATTCTGTGTCAATACTGCAAATCAATGCTGCAGGACTTCTTTATGGTCCTATCAGATTCCCAGAAACTTTGCAATAACATGGTGAGTTATCTTCATTTCCCAAATGTTAAATTCACTGGATTATCCAAAAACTACTGTTTCTCAAATGAATAATCACAATATGTGCAATGTCATATGATTAAGTATATATTACCCATCCCTATGTTGACTGCATCAGCAGGTTTGAGATGAAAACATACAAGTCAATGCAAATCAATATTAATATTGTGTGGGAAAAAACTGCAGCCTCTTAATCCAACTGGGGCTACCATCCTGTTGCTACAGGGCTCCTGGCACAGAGGGTATAAATACACACATATATATTTTTTTTTTAAAGGCAAGAAGAAGTTGAACCTGCCTCAACTCTTCCAGTTTTTTCTTGCAGCATTAAATATTGCCAAATTGCTTACATTTTAACTAGCCCTGGCTAATGCTTCACCACTAGTAATCACTTCTTCTTCAGTGCTCTAAAAACAGTACTTGCCAGTGGCAATACATCGCAACTGTGATGGAGAAGCGAAGAAATTGTGACTTCAGGGAAAAGAAAATTTCAGTTTTAACAGGGTTAAAAAAAAAAGGTCTTCAAAGACGTGGTATCGGATCGGTTCATAGATTTGCTCACTCAACAATGCCTCACCTAGAAGTTTGGGCAGTACCTGAGGCATTTACAATGCTCGCACCATTATCGGAATATTTCTACTGATGAGCCAACATATTATGGATCATGTATCATCACCTCACCAGAACCACAACATACTCAGCCATGCACACCTTAAACCTTTATCAACAATGTGCTGTTAAACCAAAAGACAAAAACAGAACTCAAACATTAACCACAGCAGATACTTACATATTCCATCATGTTGTTGGTTTCACACTTCCTTTTGCTTAGTCTCCAATGCAAACACAACTGTAAACCGAGTGCGACAGGGATCAGAGAGTTTATATAACATGTTACAATACTTGTACACAGATATCCACAGGTCTTCTCTACTCACCTTGTGGTAAAGTCTGCTGTTCTCCCACTCCAGGAGCTTCTCTATAGATCTTCTTGTCTGGAAAACAACAGTGATGTCAAATGATATTGTTTTATTTTCTTGTTTATGAGCAGTGGAGAGTGGGTGAATGTCTCACCCTCTTGCTGAGGCAGATGACAGGCCACAAACTAAAGCCCAACGTGCAGCAGCAGCAGAGACAGCCGCATAGGAGCCACCGCACGTTCACCGGCAGCGTCTTCCTCAGGCAGCCGTTTACGCGATTGATACTGGCTTTGAATTCCTCCGGCGCCACCTAAAGGAGGCACATTCACATTGTACAGTAAATAACCTTTCATATCTGTAAATGGCAGATTAATGTGGAATTGAATATGTATTTTGTATTGTTGATGAGAGAAATGAATGCATTGATGTTTGTGCCAAAGGAGAAAAGGCAAAATACTGCAGTGCAGAGGATCATTTTAATGTAAAGGTAATAAGATTCAAAACATGTTTGTGTGAAGTGTGGCTAGTGGCTGGAATAAAATAAATCTCCTCCTTAAATCTATAAAAATAAATATAAAATAAATAAAGTGATAAAATGTGAGAATGTACCATAGTTAACATGTACTGACAAATAACATGTGACACTCACCTTCCCTGTAAGTGCTGAAGGAAATTCTGACTCGAATTTGTTACTAAGCCCAAACCTGAAGGGAAAAGGTAAAAAAAAGTAGATTGTTACGTATAAGCATACACATAAAACTATATGTGGATAATTGGCTTGAATAAAAACATTTGCCTTGTGGCATTACGTGTACTACATGTAAGTTCCGAGGTAGGAACTATTTATTAAAAGCTGTACTCTTCGCACAGTATCTTATGATAGCATGCTCGCAACAAAACACCACAATGAGTCCAGGGCTTACATGATAAGCCAATGTTCATATTTAAGTTAAAATACAGTGAAAGAAACATAAAATATTCTCTAAAATATTAGATTTGCTTATTTTCCAGTGTCAAGACAAAACATTGTGAAATCAGTGTGATTAACCCTGACTGACTTTGTTAGTGAGGGCTCTGCTAGGAAAGTTTAATGTTTGTTCTCTTGTTGATTTGGTTAAAAACTTCACTGAACAATGACATTGTTCATAAAAAGATGCAATGGGAAAACAAACTGGGGTTAAATGGGGTCACAACTATTTCTTTTACAAGATCTCCAAACTGTGTTGAAATCAGTTATCATTGATTTCGTCACTTCATTGAACCACAGCAGACAATTAACAATCGATGAATTAGAACTATTTAAACAGAAAGTCAAGATTTAAATGTCAGATCTCCTCAGACATGATCATGTTTTTAAATAAACTGAAGATATCTTATCAGTTTTGAACTTTTACTAAATTCAACACATCGTCTGACATCAACTCTGGGAAATTGGGATGAGCTTTACTTTCTCCACCATTTTAGATGACAGACTAATTTAATTAAGCTAAAATAACGGACACACGCATCGATAACGTAGATAGCATTAGTTGGTGGCCTGGAATAAAAGCTAAACCTGAATATGAGGAAACGATAACACTGACAATGGCTCCTTAAACGACCATCCAACCTAACGAGGTGGAATATTTATCAAATGATTCACTTCAGCTAAAACCAAAGCTACAGCCACTCCTCGCTGAGTTAGCTCTTTGCTAACTGTAGCTAGCAGGCTACGGTAGGTCACCGGCGGCTAACTCAGCCTGCTAACCACGGGAGCTCGGCGGCCGCCGGTCTCTTCACGGTGACAGTGGCGGAGAACAACCCCTCTCCCTTCCCGTGGGCCTCGCCGGTCGCTTACACAGTGACGTGGCCGGATCCTCGCACCACCACCGGGTCCGGAGCGTACTTGAGGAGCTGCTCCTCCGCGGCCCTGTCCTCGTCCTCCTCTTCCTCCTCCTCTTCGTAGATCTCGTCAAAGTCCTCCATCATCGCACGACTCGGCCTCGCGCTTCCCGGGGGGGACACCGGGAGAGACACGGTGCCGACTGACAGAGGGAGCTTGCCGGGGAGAGAGTGTCAGGGGAGCCGTGAAGAAGAGCGGAGAAAAAAAATGTGTCCGTCCCGGAGAAGATTCAGTTCACATCGTTCACTTCAGCAGAACAGAAACAAAACATCAACATCCGCCGCAGTAACCGCACGACACCGGAAGGGGGACAGACGTGCTGACGTCTCATTTCATTTATTTAATTTTTATTTAAAAAAAAGACAATTTACAGGAGATCATTTGACAACATGCACAACTCATCGTAGTTTTTTAAAATCACAAAATAGCAAAAATATCTATATTTGAAAATGCTAAAATACAAAAAACCCTGCTCACTGAAACAAAAACGAAAAAAATCTATCTAAATATTTGCTGAGTAAAAATAGAAAAGTCAAATTATATTGTCCCTGTATGCCATTTGTGTGGGCCCTGTCTTATTTTAGTCTCTTGATTGTTATTCATCTTTATTCTATATGATATTGTACATTTGCACATATTTCTACCTATGCATTCAGTTTGATTCTGTTGGAACAAAATACATTTTCAGTTGTTAAGTGACTGTTCTAAAACTTATTTTTTTTTAATTTATTATAACTATTATTGGGGAGCCAGTTTACTACTTAAAATGTACTGGGGAATTTGATCTAATCAGTACATTATGCAAACTGTACTTAAGTTTAGTCCTTGAGTATTTCCTATCACTGCTGGTACTATAATTTTTTTTAATGCAGCATTATATTATAATATATTACATTATTACTATTTGCCATACAACAATTATACAACCCTGGTACGACTACTTCTACCACTACTACTGATAATAATAAACCGGAATATAAGCAGATACTACTTCAAAATAAGATACGAACCTTGGCAAGAAGTTACGTTTAGCCTTCCTCTTGCTCCAGCAGGCTTTAGATAGCTGACACTTTACAGTCTTTTCCGTTACAGCTCATATGTATGGGTCATTAACTAATCCACGCGGTCACAAGTAACTTTTAAACAAGAATCTGCCACCGTGCGGTTAAACGCATTTTATTTTGAAACGTTTGACCGGACATCCAATCGAGCCAGCCTTACTTAGGTTTCTGTGTTTACTCCTTCACAGTCGTGTTCGTGTTTCCATCAGGAACATGATTTATTAATGACTGTAGACGTTTGATTCATCCAGATGCATCAGTTTGAGGAAGTAAACTGCGGACACCACGTGGATGAGAGAGTACTTCCTGTTTCAGAAGGAGCGTGGAGTCGATTGAAGCGCTGCTAGTTTGGTGACTTCCTGGTTATCACTTGAATCAGTTCAATGTGAATGACTGGAGTTAAATAGTTCAATGGCAGCAATGGATTACATAAAAATCATCTCAGAGGTTGTAAAAGACATTGTTCCTGTCATCACCTGCGGTGTTTTCACTCTGGCTCTGGCATCATGTGTTTTATTCTGTATCCAAACATACTTGAGCTTAACTCAGGGTTTCCTCAGTGTTGGAGCCGCTGTTTTCCAAAGTGGACACATCCACAGACTTCTCCTGTTCCCCGTCTATCATAGAAGTTTAGCCCAGCTGCTCCTGAACGTCACAGCCCTGGTGTTCCTCTGTGGCAGCCTGGAGAGAGGTGTGGGCACCGTCCGCTTCCTGTCTGTCTTCCTGTTGCTGTCCACCACCACCGGCCTGTGTTACAGCTTCCTGGATCTGCTGCTGCAGGACGACAGCAGCCAGACTCACACCCACACAGAGGGCCTGGTCCCTGTGGCCCTGGCCTGTGTGGCTCTGACCACCATGCACACGAAGGTGACCAAAGGGTTCCTGTGTGGAGTCAGTTTCCCCACCATAGCTCTCCCCTGGGTGTTCCTCATCATTGCCACTGCCCTCGTTCCTCACTGTGTGCTCCCCTGCAATGTTATCGCCATTTTGATTGGGTGGATGTACGGGAAAGGATGGTTCTCTCTTCTGGATGTGTCAGAGGCCAGGGCTGGTGTTGTGGAGAAGCTGATGCCGTTCAGGTTGCTGAGGAACATCTGCGGTGTCCTGTTTGTCCCTGCCTCCATAGAGGAAAGGAGGAAGACTCTACTTCCACAAATCAATCCAACACCAGGCTCCTACCCGGTCCAGGCGTACGCTCCTACATCAAGCATTAACTCTGCTGCTACTGTGACATATGAAGGCTGGCCCAACTCAAACAGTGCTCTGTCTGGTCCCACACCTCCTCTTCATTCTCATGGACATGGATCGACACATAACTTTGGACTCAGTCACAGCCACAGCTGCAACCACAGCCACCACGGTCATAGCCATGGTCAGCTTTAGTTATACAAGAAAAGCCATATCTTGCTTTATTCACCACTCCAAAACCACAATAAGTGATAGTGCACCTACTGCAGCTCTTGTCACTGAGTTGTGTGGACTACAAAGTAAAAAAAAAAGGCAACTGACAAGATAATCTACCTTCTTGAATTGTCAAATGACATTGAATGTTTTAATGTTACAGGTGACACTTGTGCATACTTTTACATTTTACAGTCTTGTATTATTTGTTTCTTTTTTCTACAAATAAAAAAAATCTACTGTCACCAAATAAAAACTCTTATGTGGAAAACTAGAATTGTTGCAGAAAGGTAATCATTTGCACATCCTGTCTTTTATTTATGCCTGCCTGGTGAGTGGTGAGTATCCACGCATTGGAAAACTTCAATGGACTTGGAAAAAGAAATGCTTCAACCCTACCAGATCTTTATCAGGTGTGATAGAGGACGAGGTGTAACAATATATGGGTGAACTGCTGAAAACTGATTACATCCTGCTGATGTCATTGGCAAGTGTTTTTTATTTTTGTTAATA